GGGGGGGGGGGGGGGGGGGGGGGGGGGGGGGGGGGGGGGGGGGGGGGGGGGGGGGGGGGGGGGCACAGGGTGATTTGGTGGGAGTGTCGCTTGAAGACATTGTGCAGCCAACCCACCTTTGCGGCGCTGTATCCATGGCACGGCGTGAAAAAACGTTCCTATTTAGTCAAGCTCTTCAACCAACACAACAGGGGCTGAGGAAAAACGCATGCACTATCCCCCGCCCAACTCCACCCCTAGACAGAAGCGATCTGCACCTGGGAATGGCGTTGCCAGAGCCGAATTGCAACTACGGGTGATCTACACTACTGCTGTCACCATAGGTGCACGGAATAGTCCGATTGGATGGCATTACGAGGGTCTGCGGGCTCGAGCATCCTCGACGAGCTCAAAACAAGCAAAGCAATCACCAAGTCATCAGCGTCTGCGAAGGCGAGCCCGAGGGCAATCGACGTGCGGCTACCATAGCGCAAGCACAAAACACACGTGGGCGTAGCGACTGCCCACGCACACGCCTCTCTGTCAGACGGGATTTTGCGTGCAAAAAGCTGGTGGCGACAAAAAAACACAAACACAAGTGCAGTATTCCCCGCCACTCCCTGTTGCCGTCAGGTACGCAGCAACGGGCGAGTTGATACAACCAACCTTTGGGCACCCGTCCCTTTCGACAAGACTACATCTACCAGTCGGCAGGTCTACTACCTGGCATACCGGCTTGTCTCGCAACGCTATGTAATAGGGCGACTCAAGAGTCCAGCATCAACGCAGTTGAACTCCCCACCCGGAAAAAGAACCACACCTGGAGAATCTGCTAACCCAGTTCCGTCGTCGGCTTCTTGGGTTATTTCCCCTTCTCCCGGTTGCTCCCCCTCCTCCTCCTCTTCCTCCTCCTCCTGGTCTGGCATTGTTGCCGCCCCGTCCGCCCCTTCGAGGGCTTCATCCTCCTGCGCCTCCTCCTCCTCCTCCTCCTGCTCTTCCTTTTCTTGCTTCATCTCGTCAACCTCTTCCTGTTCAAACGCTTCTCCCAGCGGCCCACGGTCCTCCCCACCCGCCGCTTCCTCCCCATCCACGCCCCCTTCCTCTCCCGACTCTTCTGGCTCCGCTGGTGACCCTCCTCCTCCTCCTGGCCCCCCATCTTCTCGCTCTTCCGCCTCGACGTCACTTCCCCCCACATCCTCCACCGCCGCCGAGTCTCCGGAAGAGTCACGTTGGTCCGATGACGACGCTGTCGATTGGGCCGCATCAGTAGCACCAATGCCCTCGATCTTCCCGCTACTAGAGCCGCTTTCAACGCCACCGCCCCCATCGGTCGAGTCTCCCTCCTCTTCTTCTCCCCCGGCCTCTTCGATCTCGGCTTTCGGCGGTCGATCAACGCCGTCGTTCTCGGCTTCGACCTGGACGTCGACCTCTACTTCGCCCAAACCGTCCGCTGCTTCGGGTTCGGGCCCTGATTCGTCGACTTCCTCGGCCGAACCCTCGATCCCGGGACCGTCAACGCCACCGGAGGGCTGCGCATCCTCACCGCCCGATCCCTCCTCGCCGCCGCCGTTGCCGTCGCCATCACTGTTGTCGTCGCTGTCGTGACTCTTGTTCCCCTTTTCTCCGGGGCCTTTGTCTTTCTTATCCTGGTCCTTCTTTTTCTTGTTCTTTGCCTCCCTCTTGTTCTTTCCCTTGTCCTCTTTCCCGTCTTGGCTTTTCTTATCGTTACCCTTGTCGCCCAAGCGTCGCCGCTCTCTTTGCCCAACAGCGGTGGCAACAGCGGGAGAAGCGCGAGCAGCAGCTGCAGCATTTTTTCCGTCAGAATGATTCCGCAAGCCGTCCAGCTGACCCCGCGCTCCTTCCCCACCGGGAGAAGATGAGCCGTAGATGCCTACCATGTCCCTCCCTGCCGGCCGCATGAGGCCGACAGAGCGCCGCGACGGATCAAGGCAGGAGGTCAACGGGGCGTGCGTTGGTAGCAGTGGCATGAGGATGGGCTGGTTGGGTGCGAGGCGTGGCCCTCGCACGTAAGAGTGATTCAAGTTTGAGCGATGTTCTAGACGCGTGTTGGCAGGGAACGTCGCCTTACATGGCAGGCACGCCTCAGGGCTCACGACAGAGGTCATTTGAAAATTATCCAAACAACAGCAGTACGTGAAGCTCAAAAGAACAGAGAACAAGCAGCCGCGGGGCCGTCAACACAGCAGGGAGTTAGAGTGGCCTTCGAGGCGCGTACTGAAAATCGAGATTTCGGCCGGACACGGACGGGATGCCGTGAACAATGGACGAGATCAATCATTGCGCGTACATACATAGACTTTCTTGCGTACAATGTAGTCGAGCGCTTTCTGTCCCGTGCTTGAAAACCTGCCTCGTTGCCTACATTGTTCCCATTTTTTCCTGGACGTGAGGGCTGCATCATGTAAAGTTGGTGACCGTGCCAAGGAAGACTTTGCTCCGAAACCGGCCAAGATAAGGGTCAAGCAGCGTGTGCCATTTGTTCTGACAGGTACGCTCGTCCTCCGTTGATACACCCATCTAATCTTCACCGTCACTGCAACCTCCGCTCTCACGACGTCGAACAGGTACAATAACGTTGGTTACTCGCGCTACAGAAGCAACCCATTTCTAGTGCCTACCAAACAAATCGTCGGGCCTGCTGGTTTCCGCTTCCAAAATCGCGAATCCCCTTGAACAACTGCCCACAATAGACTGTAGAGATGTTTGTTTGTAGCTGGAAAAAGGACGACCGAATTCGTCCGCAAGACATCCATGAGAGTCGATGCATGGTGCATGAAACGTGCCCACCAACGAGCGCTTCGAAAGCAAGTGCAGTGGTACTAAGAAGCGTGAGACAAACGACCACTTGCGGGAAAGGTTATTTGGTGGGAACTCTCCGACGGGCATTATTGTAGCACATCACCTCAACATCTGCAGTCGTTGTTGGCAAGCGCACGCGTCCCACACAGTTGGGGAAGGCGTTTGCTTTCCCGAAACAAGCATCATGGCTTTGTGGTTCAGGCGTTCAGGCAAGTTTAAAGTTTGGTTTGTTTTTCCGGCGGTTCGCCCAGTTGTGCTGACTGCATGCTGCATGCATTCTGCAGTTGGCTCGTATGGGTGGCAATGCGTTCGTGTAAGAGGCAGCTTTCGTTTGCTGAAGGACTCTCGTACAGAGTGCCAACCAAGGGCGGGAGAACAAAAACGCATATACGATCGATGTGCACCTGTGTACCTGAGAGCTAACCCTACTGAATACTTGCGGCGTATGCACACTGAGTTTTGCGTGTTGGCAGGCAGTCGTTTTACTGGTATAAGTACAGCAGTAGTACAATTAAACGAGACTCCACACTCAACTCAAGACAGACGATAAATTCAGTTTGTCCGCTGCGAGCGCCTCAGGATTTTGATCCGACCAAACGGAGCAAACAAAGCCACGTGTTCTCTCTCTGCCTCGCCTTTTGCGTCTTCCTCTCTCGGCCATACACACCTTTAGCGCCATCGTCGCCTATGAGCGGCGCTTTCCCGGCGCCGAGGCCTCCGCGTCCGAACCCCATCTTTGGCGGTTCTCAGCTGCTGTCCGTAACAGAACAGAGAGACGTCACAGCAACAGGCAGGATAGAGTTCGCTTCAAGCTCAGGAGCTGTTGAAAGAGAGAAAGGGCCAGAAGCCAATTCCCTCCTTGAGATCTTCAAGTAATCACGCTCACGCGCTCGTTCGGCAGACTATTCACTACCTGTCCTCGCGCTTGTTCCGCTCACAGGGGTTAATGGGAAAGTATGGCATTGTCGATCGCCGTGGAGTGCAGGGGAAGGGGCTCCGTCCTATCATGATATCCCCCCCGGATGGTTTAAGGGGTGCGTTTTGTTCTGACTTTGAACGGACCCTCTGTTATTACCCGACAAATAGGGTGCCCTTCCCCACACACAGCACCTCTCTGTCTGCTCGTCTCGAGGGTCTCCGACCAGCAGCTTGTTCCTCTCCTGGTCGGGGAGAGCAGAGACAAACAGGCCCACACCTCGTCTTGCGTTTTCCCCCGAGAATGGAATCGCCCGTTCGGTCGGTGGAAACTGGAAAAAACGGGAGCGGGGGCGCGGGCGGTGGGGCGAATCAGCAGCAGCAGGACAAAGCGACAGCAGCGGGTCAGGCCGGGGCCGGCGGGGCAGCGGCGGCGGAGACCTCGACATCCCAGCGGTTTGAGGCCAAATCGTACCTCGAGCGGCAGGTGGAGGAGCTCTCGTGCGCGGACGAGGACGAGGCCCAGGAGAAGGTGTCCCAGCGCCTGCAGTTTAAGCAGGACCAGGCCCGGAAGAAGAGGTAGGTACGGGACTTGCTTCCGTCTCTCTTCAACGAAATACATCCGAGAGATGAAGCGAAAAATATCATATGAAAAAAAAAAGGGAGAGAGGGCTTTGATTTGTTACCCCTTGTGGCTGCAGGGTGCCAATCCATCTACGATGCTGTGTGACCCGGCGGGTCAAACTGCATCCAGCCTGGGAAACCAAGAAGAGTCCACTCTTGATGTCAACGTTCCTTCAAGATATAGGCTAGCAGTGGTACTACAGTTTTGCAGCCCGGCCCGAGTGTACCACCAATCTTCCTTACCTTTTTTTTTTCCCGCAGACCCCGACTTGATACAGCAGTGCGTATTTTTTTTGGTGTGTGTGCGTTTGCGACTTTCCCTTGATGGCAGGGACGTGCAGCTGCAGCGGAGGCGCAAGGGCATCGCTGAGAGGGTGAGAACACAAACGCACCACGCGCTGACTGGTTAAAGCACCTTTCCTTCCTCCCTGTAGCAGCAGCCGTAGCTTTCGTGTGTGCGTCTGTGGTTGAATGTCGAGGGTGTGACGTGCTCAAAACCCGCAGGGAGTGGTATCTCTATTTTTTAGCAGCCCGGCTCCGAAAATGAAGGCGGAGGATCCTTCGCAATCAATGGATGTGTCATACCGCCGTAGAGATGGCAACCTCTTCGCCCGCTTCCTAGGCGCTCTGAAGGGTGTGGTGCGCGTTTCAACATGTTGTTGGGCTAATGTGTACGGCCGTTGTCGGTATTGAATCGGCGCAACAATTTTTGTCTACATGTCGGCTCTCTCTACACAATTCGTACCCGCTCTCCGTGGGGTAGATGAGACAAATGCAGCAGTTTTTCGCGCAGAAAAACACTTGAAGCATGTATTGTTGATGTTTTTGTTTTCTAGATCTAGGCGAAGGAGCGGGATTCGCGTAATTTTTGGGTCACACCATCGCCGTAGCGGATGTTGCGCACAACAGCAGTACCGCGGGTTCATCGGACGGTGGTGGTGATACCCTTGTCACCGCATTACCGCAGAATACTGTTGAGCATGATGGCGATAGGTAGATAGACGTTGCGACGGTATGATAGAGTGGTATTCTGCCGCTCGACGCTCGACCCGTTAGTCTAGCGGATACCCCTGCCGCACCGTGCAACTAAGTCGTCGGTTCGAGTCCGGGCGGAGTGATTTTTTTTCACTAATCAAATCCTGGTCTCCGTTGGTAGCGACGCGCTGCAAAGTTCGTTGTTAGTAAACTTGATCGACTTCAAAAGACGCGAGTGAAGGGATTGCTGTACCCTTCTCGCGAGAAGAATATCTCAGGCAGGAACCGCAGAAGGGGGTTCAACCCCCCACCCCTCCTATGTGACCCCGGTTGGGTCGTCTAGCTAGCAGAAGTGGAGGATGGGGGCCAGAGGGGCAGATGACAGAGTCCAATGATGGGAGAAAAAAAAAAAACACTGTATCTACCAATATCAACAACCGCCGGTCGTTGTTCTTTTCGGCACAACTCGCTCATTCTTTTGGGGTTGGCGAGTTCTTGACTGACGTGAATGCAACCAACGGCAGTGGCTGGTAAATGTAGATAACAAAGAGGAACCTAAATAAGAGATTTGATCACGCGGCTTGTTGGTACCCTGCCACCCTGATTAGGCGGACAGCAGCGGTAGACCGACATGTACGGCGGTAGAGAGGTAAATGATGGCTTCGATGCAGCGCAGGGATCGAGTGCATGTGTCATCATCCACGGTTCTCTGCCCCGACGGGCCTCGTCAAGAAGAGAGACGGAGTGGAGTTTGTGCCCTGCGATCAATCACAACGTCTGGCGCGATCCTTCTTCAGAGTCACACTATCCACTGTTGAAGGAGTATTTACCGCCCTCACTTCTTCCAGCCAGCTGTGTCATCGTCAAAACAGACGCGGCTTTTTGCATCGGCGGTTGCAATCTTACTGTGCTGGGTTTTCGAGAAGGAGAGCGAGACTCTTTGTAGAATAACGGACGGGTCGCACCAGACGTGCATGGTCGCATACTCTCATCTTTACGATCTTAACGAGACCGTCGGGGCAGAATAGTCCAGTTACAATATCCGGTTTTGGTTCTCATGTGGAACGGGTACAGAGTTTTTTTTGCACTACTACTTTTCTACAGTTTCCTGGCGGGGGTAATAACGCGAGAGGCATCCCCTGATAGATGTACATACTCTTCTCCTGCGGTAGGTTTCTCAGACGCTACAGTATTATACTACTCTACAGCGGTATGGAGTTTGAGAGTGGAGCATGTGGAGAAAAACATCTCGAGTCCCTACCGCATCTCTTCAGGAGGCAGGACATATTTTCGTCCTGGACATCAGGGTGTACAACATAACTTCCTTCTGGCCTGATGGCGCCGGGAAGCAACAACGGACTTAATCGAGTTTCTACCGCATCTCTTCAGGAGGCTGGACGTTTTTGTCGTCCTAGAGATCAGGGTGTTCAATTTCCTTCTGGCCGGATGGCGCCGGGCACATACGCTTCGACACAACCACTAAAAATGTTGTTTGGCGTATTGCTGTTTGGCTCGTATTGCCTACATGATAATCCTGCTCCGTCAAATATGCCGCGTATCTATCTTCAACGCCAGATCCGTCAATGTCCGCACGCTACGGACCGCGCTGCTGTGTGGGCTAGGTTTCAGATGAACACGCGTTGCGGACCAGGCTATGCGTGCGTGGTAGTCGCAAGTCTTTGTCTGATCGACATTGCTGAGAATGACGGAGGATTCCGCCCGTTCCGGTGCCGGAGCAAATACTTACCCTATGCCATTCCCCGCCCACCCAACCAACCCCTTCCTTCCTCACTCCACGTTTTCTTTGTCTTCCCTAATCATTACGTACTCTCTCGTGGGCGTTTTTTTTTTTTTCCTTCCTTTATTTGTATAGCTACGCAAGATCGGCGAGGCTCGCGAGGCAGTCGACGCCCGGTTCGCCGAGAACGCCGCTCAGCTCATGGAACGCCAGACGGAAAAGCAGACGTCCGCCACGCGCAGGCAAGCGAAAATCGAATTTTGATGGGGTTGTTTGTGGGTACAACCGGCAGAAGACTGCTTGCTGCTGCTGCTGCTGCTGCCGCTGCTGGTGGTTGCTGTTGCTTGTTGCTGTTGCTGGTTGCTGCTGCAAACGCACTCGATCGAAAATAGAACAACAGTTACTGATATACGTGGGAAGCAGGGCTGCACGCTAGGTCTTCGCGTACCCTGCTCCTTGCATGGCTCCCCCGAGGCTGTTTGCCTGATGCCTCGCTGACTCTGGGTTGTCGATGAACTTCTGTGCTTGCCGTTCGATCGAGGAATGCGTCAAACACACCTATTCTTGGTGTTGCGCACGTCTCACGCTTTTCATGGAACCATGATGTCGTTCTCTCTCTCTCTCTCTCTCTCTCTCTCTTCTCTCTCTTTCCGTTTCGTGATGGATACACAATACTGTCTGTCCCAACCAATCATTGACCGCCGAACAAAGCACCCAAAAAGACACTGTCGTGGCGGGAGGGGAGGTACCTGCTCTCCTGCTTTTGCGTGTGTGCTTGTCTTTTTATCATTTGCACCGACGCGACTAATCGGCTGAGCAATGAAAATGCAGTAGTCTCAAGTGAAAACAGTAAAGGGCGATGATCTGGGATCCGCGTAGGGGGCGTCGTGGGGGAGGCTAAGCTGTTATCGGAATTAAGGACAGAAACAAACAGCAGCAGCAAAAGAATAGTACCGCAAGTGTCTACATATTGTTGCTTGTTCTGTTTTCTTCCCTGCGGGCACTATGATTCTTGTACTCCCCTCGCCAACGTTGCTATGCATGACATGACTCTTGGGTAGCTCTCGCTTCGCCTCCGGTTTGTGTGCGTTTGTGTGCCGTCTTAAGAGAAGCCGTTGGGAAACCCCCAGGTCTGCTCCAGCTGTGATGCCAGCATTTGCGTGGGGAACCAATCGAGCAGGAGGCACGGTATCAGTAGTAGCGTTTTCTCGGCGGCGGACTAGATGCATTATTATTGTTGGTGCACACTGGCGAGTTGGTTCTACAGTACTCGTCCGGCGTTGTTGGTGTCTACTTCTTGATAGCGATATATCTTCTCTTACCAACAGAAAACTGCACGTTCCCGCCAACTATCAAGACGCCAATTCGTCTTGAGGCGCTGCAGATAAGACATAAGAAGTGCTGCAAGAAGGCACGGGCGCTCCGAACACATATCCAAAAGTGCCAATGCAATACATCAGAGTTATGCCACAACCAACTACATTTGGCCGCTCCGTTCGTTGTGCCCTGGACCTTCTCTCCGGGCAGATGTAGCTGCCTGGTTCTGTCCGTAGACCTCGCGCGGAATTATTGACTCACATTGCACGTAGTGCCGCGGTTCCTCTTCCCCCTTAACTTACCTTCGTGTGGCACGCATGTAACAACACCTACTTTCTTGGTTTCATCTTCCCCCCGCCGGGGGGATGAATGAACAACGTGACTCTTGATTCAGGCGACGCACCAGCCTGGAAAACATCAAGAACGCTCGGGCCATGCACAACCGCCGCGTGAACCAACGCCGGCGGGAGTCCTTCGACGACGCCAGCGGCGTGAGCCCCGCGCGCATCAAGGGCATGCACGAGTTCGAGTCGAAGCTGGCGCGGGCCGAGCGCAACCGCGACAAGCTGCGGCGGGAGCGCAGGAGGCGCGCGATGGAGCGCTACGAGGAGGGCAAGGCCCGGGTCCTCGAGCAAGGAGGGCTCGCTTTTTCCACCTCGTCGTCGGCGTTCAGGGGCGGCGTGGGAGGCGTCCGCAGCGGCTGCCTCCGAGCCGCCCCTGGAAGCGGCGTCGGCGGCGGCATCACCAACACCAAGAGCACCAACGGCGAGCTCGGGAGGGACAACCGCCGGAGACGCGCGGCGGAGGCCAGGCAGGCGGCCAAGGCCCGCCAGACGCAACGCATGAGGAGCCTCCGGCAGCGCATGCTGTCCCACACGTCCCAGGTCTCGGAGCGGAAGACGCGCCTCTTCGCGGCCAGGTTGCTCCAG